TAATTTTCCCAGGATTGCAAACCTATCAGGTGGTACAACTAGAACTTGGACCTTGGTCCTATGATTCCCAATCACCTGTTCTTCCCAAGTAGCCAGTGTCTCCTCCAACGTTGGAGGAGACAACTTAACCCCAATTGCCACTTAACCCCAGAAATCTCAAAGGGGAGTGCCACTCCAGCACACAACAGCATAATCTAATCATGGAAATGCTCATCTGATTTTAGAAATGGAAAGAACGCAGCTGTGTGGAGGAGAAAGCACCGTAATATGACAAACAGTAAGATCCCAGGTTCAAATCCTGACGCGACTGCTTCCTAACCGTGTGACCCTGGATAGGCCATTAATTTTCAGGGAGCTCACTCAGGCCCTTGCTTCTGAACTGGGGATGTGTATATAACAGAACTGCCACAAAGACTGTGACGGATGGTTCATGTCCAGGTGCTTTATCATCTATAAAGTGCTACAGAAATACCAGCAGTTGCCTTCCAGCCAAGCCCCTCTTATTTAATGGTCTAGAAAAATCTATTACGAAATTTGATTTTTCTTTCAGAGTTTCCTCATCTGCACATACACCCCACTGGACTGTTTGGTGTATTATACATCAATAGGATAATACAGGTATTACCCTAAAATCCATATACTGAAGCCCTAACTCCAGTCCCCCAGAATGTGACTGTATCTGCAGATGGGGTCTTTACGGAGGTGATTAAGGTAAAATGAGGTCATTAGGGTGGACCCTAGTTCAATCTGTCCTTATAGGCAGAGGAGATGAGGACACAGACACACACAGACGGACAACCACGTGAGGACACAGGAAGAAGACGCCGTCTGCAAGCCAAGGAGAGAGGCCTGGGTAGAAACCGGCCCTGCCCACACCTTGACCTTGGACTTCCAGCCTCCAGAACAATGACAGAAGATAGTTCTGTGGGTCAAGCCACAAGTCTGCAGTACTTTGCAGCAGCCCTAGCACATTCATGCAGCTGCTAAACTCAGTCCCAACATAAACTGAGCAAGGAAGCCATGCAACGTAAGAGACAAGGTGTCACAGGGCAGGCGAGAAGACCACCTTCAGTTCTGGCTCCCCCACTAACTACTGGTTCTGATTGGGGTAAGTGAGTTGCCTTTTCTGGGACACAAAGGTTTGGGTCAGTCATTTTCCACGTGCCCTTTCTGACTTTCTGTGCTACTCTGTACGTTACTAAAATTTAACCACACTTTTCCCAGAATCCAAATTATAGTGAAATTAAAACCAAATCAAAAAGAAGGGTAAAGGGGGCCGGCCCGGTGGCGCACTGCTACAGTGCACCGCTTAGGAGCGCGGCGGTGCTCCCGCCGAGGGTTTGGATCCCACATACAGACCGGTTCCCGCTCACTGGCTGAGCGAGGTGCGGGAGCAACACCGAGGGTTGTGATCCC